GCTCATCTTTAAGTGAAAAATCTCCAGAACGGAATTTGCGAAACCAATTTTGACACTGTCTTCCTTTTAAGGCTTCATCACCATACACATCTCGTAACTTTTTAGCAACCTGCTCCGCGTTTTTTCCTTTACGGAAATAATAAAGTAAAATATGACGAAAATGCTCCTTTGTGGGCTCCATATTAAAATTGAAGCCAAACAAACAAAATTACGCGCACTTTTTTTTAAAGCAAGCTAAAGGGAACAACTAATAACTGACAGAAGAAAGAATGCAATTACAGAGTCACAAGCCGTTGAAAAAATTTGCCAACGCCGACTATATGAAAAATCCGCAATTACTTTTTGGGCAACCCAATACATAAATCTTCGACCTTTTAGAGGACTATTGGGAAAAAGCTTTTTGAACTTCATCATTGCTGAAATAAAATCAATTTTTAACAGAATTAATAAATTAAAAGCAGAAAAAATTGCTGTATAAATGAACAGATTCGAATTGAACCGCCCTAATAAGTAGCTGTTATACAACCTGCTGGCTAATTTTTACTGAGTCCTGTTGAGTGAAAACTCTGTAAATTGTTTTTCTTTGGGAGAATAAAAAACAAGCACAGCAAATTTAAAGGTACTTTCATTCTCTCTTTTGACATTAAACTTATTTCACCTTACTCGTGCGCCCTAGACTGTATACTGTATACTTTTCCTTTAATAGGTCAAAAGTTTCGTTGCTTTCGTGGCACGTCGCGCCGTTTTGTTAAAAGTAAACGTTGTCCAGATCAATGCCAACCAGTTTCGACCATAAAAAGCCATTAGCCATCTCGCATAGCGCAATCCATTCATGCCCAATGACCCCGCCAGGCCTTAAACTGCACAAAACAATTACACTTCGAGAACGAAGAGGTTTTTCAACAATAAATCTTGGGTTTTCCTAGCGCCAGATGCGTCAGTTTTGCTTATTGACACAACCTCGGCAGTTAAGATGATCTTTCGAAGAAAATTTTATAGTAAATTTTAATAATTTCAACGCGTTGTTGTAGTGTGTATCGTTAAATTTTTATGACTGGCCTAGTTTTTACTTGCCAAATGTCAAAAAGTTTAAGCTTCAAAAGCGACATCTGCCGGAATGGCAGTCTGTTCAAAATAACACCTCTTCTTGAAAACCCTACTATAAGATGGTGACTACTTCAACTATTATAAGTAATCGAGGAAGTAATATCCAAGATGT